AGAAGCAGAGGACGAGGGTTGGGAGCTGGAGGAAGAGGTTAGTGGGAGTGGAAGTAGGCTGGGAAAATGCAGGATACTTGCCAGCAACATTGCCGCCCCCTCTGAGCTTAGCGATGATGAACTGAAACAGGTGCAGTGGGAGAGAATGGAGGGATCCAAGGCCTCTGAGGGCTCTCTGTGCTGGGATGTAAGGAGAAAGCTGGTTCTTTTTTTTTTTTTTTTTTAAAGATTTTATTTATTTATTTGACAGACAGAGATCACAAGTAGGCAGAGAGGCAGGCAGAGAGAGAGGGAAGCAGGCTCCCTGATGAGCAGAGAGCCCGATGCGGGACTCGATCCCAGGACCCTGAGATCATGACCTGAGCCGAAGGCAGCGGCTTAACCCACTGAGCCACCCAGGCGCCCGAGAAAGCTGGTTCTTAGTGGCTGCAGGTAGCAGCTCTCTCCTGACGATGGTCAGGGTCATTGCAAGGAGGAGATCTTTAGTCATGCAGAGGCCAGCCTGTCTTCTCAACACAGGAAGACAATGCCATCACCCCCAAATCTAATTAGAGAGGGTGGGGAGGGAGTCACCAGTAGTCCTCAACTCCCCCAATACCCCATCTGTCTCAGTGGGCTTGGGCTGCCACAATAAATACCAAAGACTGGGTACTTAACTAACAGTGGACTTGTACTTAACAATGGACATTTACTGTTCCCAGTGTGGAGGCTGGGAGCCCCAGAACAGGTTGCCAGCATGGTTGGATTCTGATGGGAGCCCTTGCTTACAGACAGCTGTCCTCCCACTGTGTCCTCACAAAACAGAGAGAGAGTGAGTGAGGTCTCTGGTGTCTCTTCTCATAAGGGCTCTAATCCCATTTTGGGGTCCCCACCATGGCCTCATTGATCCTCATCACCTCCCAAAGGCCCCACCACCAGTAATGGTACCAGTAAATGCCATTACATGGGGGGTTAGGGCTTCAGCATATGAATCTGGCATGCACACAGTTCAGTCAACAGCACCATCCAACCTACTCTTGACCTCCAAGAAGCCCAGATGCTGAACTTCACAACAGAGAAGGGACAGAAAGAGGCCCCCAGATCTTACAGGGGATGTCTACATCACTGGCAACCAAGTGGAAAAGAAAAATCTTTCATCTTTACATTTCTTATCATTGTATCTTACAGAGTTGTCATACCTGATATGGTAGCCACAGGCCATACGTGCGTTGACACGTTGATAGTCAGAATGGAGATATGCTACAAGTGCAAAATATACACACCAGGTTTCAAAGACTTAATATTTTTAAAAAAGGAAAAGATCTCAATAATCTTTTATATCAATTACATGTTGAAATAATAATATGTTGGGATATGGGGTTAAATTATTAAATGAATTTCATGTTTCTTCTTACTTTTAAAAATGTGGTTACTAGAAAATCTAAAATTATATATGTGGTTCACATTTGTGGCTTGTATGAGATTCTGTTGGAGAGACGCTAGAGAGAGGACCCCACATTGAAAACGGCTCCCAGCATGGCAGGCCCTTGTGCTGTGGTTGATGGGCGCCTGTTCTGCCACCCGGGGATGTGCCTTACACATGCGTTTTTTACAGCGGGGCTGTGCCTCTGAGGAGGTAGGGCCTCTGGTGTAGACTCGTGAGAACACAGCCTTGTCGGGACACAGTCCAGGTAGCCTTGGACTGTCCCTGGGAGGCAGCCCCGGGGAGCTGGGGACCAGGCTGGTTCTTGTTTGGCTTAGGGACAGAAAAGTAACGCCCATTTTCCAACACTGGAATTGCCCCAGGAACAAGATTCCCAAACATGGAGATTGTCGGCTTCCTGCTCTGCTTCCTATTAGCCATGGTCCTATTGCTCGGGAAGCTGGTAGGTCCCCAGCACCTGTTACAATTGGTCTTTCTCTTTATTCCCCCCTCGCATGCACGCATGTGTGAGATTGCTGTAAGGTAAATAATGTGTGCGGAGCAGTGTTACTGAACTTCACACACCCATCCCCATTTACTACTTATTAAAATCGGTCATGATACTGCACAAATGCAGCTTGACTCTGTCCCTGTTGCTCAGCCCTGGGCTGGCTCTCTTCTCTCCTGCTGCCGTAAACCTCAGTGCTATGACTATCTCTATCTTCTTTCCACTTGAATTATTTTGTTGTAGTGTTTCCCCCGAAGTGAAATATGTTGACTGGGAAATATATACAGTTTTATGGTTCCTGTGACTTTTTTCTTCAAATCACCCTCCCAGTGGAAGGCATCACCAGGTACGTCCTCAGGCGCCCCGTGGTTACGCGCCTGCGCTCTGTGAGGTGGCTGCCTCTTTCTGCCAGTTCTGGTATTGAACATTTTTTTTTTAATTTTTACCAATTAATTGTTATGTAACACAAGCTTCCTGGATATTATCCTGGCATTTTCTCAGTTGCAAATGAGAATGAGTACTGTCCTTCCCTTAAAATTTACACAAATTAAAGAACAGTCACCATCTCCATAGTCTAGAGAAACACTTTTCAGCTTCCCTTTCCCTGTGTGGTATAGAAAAATCCTGGCATTTCTTAGTTGTCATATGTTGATTGTTCAGAATTAGAGACATTCAGGTTTATACGCAAAAAAGGCTGCAGGAGATGTGGCTGATGCCTTATTAAAACCTCAGGAAGACCCCAGCTCTCTTTCCCAGGGAATTTCATAAAAGGTCTCCTTGGGGAGCACATGCTGGCCCTGCAGGTGACCCAGGAAGGCAGGGAGGGAAAACAGAGAGGATGCCCCTACTTGCCCTCCAGAAGGCACCTTATAATAAGTAATGGGAGGAGATCACTTCCTTCCAAACCCGATAGCCTCTGCCCCGCATTGCAACACACCTCAGTCATGTTTATTTCCAAGCCCAACATCTCAAAAATCAGAAATAAAAAAGTTCATGTTAACACTCATAGAATAGATGGTTTCTTTTTATAATTACTGGGTCCCCCCACCAAGGCTTCCTCCTCAGCTGCCTCCTTGCCCTGCTGGCAGCCCACTGCTGTTTCCTGCCTATCTTGCTGCCATCGCCCAGCCAACCACAGGGGGCCAACCCACAGCCAGCCCTCTGCTCAAGCCGGGGCCACCTCACCCTCTGCTGGGAACTAGCAATGAGGGTCTGGGGGGCTTTCAACTCCACCTGGGAAGATGGCCACCAACAGGTGAGCCCAGCCTTATCACACCCACTAGCAAAGAAAAACTAATCAAACCAAGATGTCTGTAATCACCCATCAAATCAATAATGTTCAAGACATTATCATCCTGGGGTGACTGGGTGGCTCAGTTGGTTAATCATTTGCCTTCAGCTTAGTTCATGATCTGAGTCCCACATTAGGCTCTGCTTCTCCCGCTGCCCCTCCCCCCAACTCACACTCACTCTTTCTTGCTCTCTCTCTCGCAGAAATAAATAAAATCTGTAACAAAAACATAGAAGACACTATCATCCCATTTCTTGATGAGGATGCGGTGAGATGTGTACCCCCAAACCCTGGCAAGGAGAACAAGTTATCAATAGTGACAACCTTGAATGAATTTTGACAGAATTTAACAAGCTTAAAAATAAAAAATATTAAAATTAAATTAAATATTAAATTTTAATTAAATAATTAAATATTAATTTAATTTAAATATTAAATTAAAAATAAAAAATATTACATACTTTTTAATCCAGCAATTTCACCTTGAGGCATCGATCCCAAAGACTATTACAGACTACAGCACAAGCAGAATGTTAACACAACACTGTTCATCGCAGCAATGAAAACCACACCAGGGATAGGGCTAAATACAACAGAATATTATACATCCAGGAAACACAGTTACAAGGAATTTAAACTACATCACAAATGTTATTAAATGTTAATTGGTGAAAGCATTCAAACAGGTCTAAACAGGGAGAATGTATATATGCCGGAAAGACGCATACATAGCATTAAAAGGTTTGTATGAAACATACCAAATGTGTAAGAGTGATTTTCTGGGTGGTAAAATTTGTCATGTTGTCACTATCCTTTTCTGGATAGATTGTTCTAAACTTTCACCAATAAACATTATTGACAAATAAAAGGAAATGAATGGTTTTCAAAGACTACGTAAAAACTGAGTTAAGGAATGCCCAAGAAATCGGTACAGGGGCTGCCTCTGGGGAGGGCCTGGGGCAGAGTTCATGCCAGAGGAAGCCTTGATTTCCATTTGTACCATCTGGAGTCTTCAAAGTACCAGGCTGGTATCACCTATTCGAAATTTTTTTAAAAATGAAGATTTTTGCCAAGGAAACACAGAAGTAAGAATACTAAAACCACAGAAGCCAAGAGGCGAGCCTGAGGGGAAAGCCCGGAAAGTGCTCTTACCTCCTAGGGGAGATAAGACTTGAGGTCCAGCCTGTCCTCTCAGGCCCAGCGCCCATCACAGTCACCCCAGGACCCAGCTAGTCCACACTGACTTCGCTCAGCAAGATCTGCTCCGTCTGACCCGAAACTGCCCAGAAGTTGGGTCAGGGTTTTTCCCAGGAATGAAGGCAGGGTGGCCAGGGGAGGGACTTCAGCTGACATAGGGGCTAGAACTCTGACTAGGACCCCGTGTCCCCTGGGTCTGGGACAGCTGGGCCCAATACATGAGCAATGAATGGGTGAGGCTTTCCCCAACCCCACATTCACCTCTATGAGTTAGGAGAACCATCTACCATGGGGGTTTTTTGTTTTGTTTTGTTTCATTTTGCTTTTTTTTTAAAGCTTTTATTTATTTATTGGACAGAGAGAGATCACAAGTAGGCAGAGAGGCAGGCAGAGAGAGAGGGAGAAGCAGGCTCCCTGCTGAGCAGAGAGCCCGATGCGGGGCTCCATCCCAAGACCCTGAGATCATGACCTGAGTCGAAGGCAGAGGCTTTAACCCACTGAGCCACCCAGGTGCCCCCAAGGAGAAGCGTCTAAATGGCCCACCATCCTATGGGTCAAAGAATCATCTAAGTGACCTCCACTTCCCAGGAGGAGGTCTGTAGTCAATGTGCAAGGCCTTTGAGGAACTCTTTCACCATGGCCAGAAGCTGCTGCTTCAGAGCTTTGCTGCTCATGACCAGCATGGTCAGCTCCATAGTGTCCATCCAGCACAGGTGCCCGAGGATGGCCATGACTTCATTATAGAGCTTTTGCTGCTCACTGGGCGGCAGCTCCATTATGACCTCAGGAATCGGCTTGAACTGTCCTCTTTTCATCCATGCACTATAGAGTCCCCCGACAGCCCCCCCTAGAAAACAAGGAAGGTTCAGTTAGTTGGTCCTTATTCATAAATGGTGGCCTCAGACCCTTGCTGGGAGCACGTCCACCGCCGTGACGAGTGAGCACATGCACACACGGGTGGGAACAGGCTCGGCTTCGTGTCCGCTCCACCCCAGGGTGTAGGCGGCAAGGGTTTCTGGGGTCCTCAGTCCATTTGGCTCAGATAACTGACACCCATACGTGCCCTTCCCTAAGCTCTATACTCACAGATGCAGCACAAAGTATCTCCCACTGCACAGCTCTGAGAACTGAAATCTTCTCTAGGGTCCACAGGTTTCCTGCTTCCCACAAAACTCTCATCTTAAAGGACAGAGCTGAGAAGCCAGTGCATTTGCAAGGAGAATCATCTCAGTGGTGAGGCTGAGTTTTCTCCATAATATGCTCTTTGCCCTGAGCTTTGGAGGTTTCCAGTGAAATCCCGGGGTTAAAGGACCTGGGGACAGAGAAGGGAACCTTTCCTCGGGAAGCAACTGCTTTTCATGCCAGCCCTCAAGAGCTATATGATGATAACTGTCGAATATAACTCATTCAACTATTTCTCTTCCTCTGACCCCAAAAGGGCAAAACCATTATTTTTAAAGGTAAATATTTATGATCAAATTTCAGATGCACGATGTTGGGACTTGAAGCCCTTATGTCAATGGAAAGTTCTATCTGATCAGGTGGGGGCAGGTCTGCTAAGGAAGGCGCCCTGGGGCAGGGGTCTCAAACTCAGGCACCCTCAGAGGGCAGGCAGGTAGCTTGGAGAAGTGAAGAGGACTGAGTGAGCCTGTGGGTGATGAAGAATGGGGTTGTGTCTAAGGGGCGGGGGCTACCCCTCGCCAGCCCACTGCTACCACACGGAATCCCACATGTGTATCCTGGAAAAGCTTCCATGATTATTAAATATCAGTCATCAGATATTAATAGATGCAGCCCAACTGGACTTAGTGACTCTCTCTGAAAGAGCAGAGCATGGAAAGGGGAGACACTGACTCCACAGTGGACAAACCAGCAAACACCACCTTAACCAGGTGATAAGGTGGACACAGTCAGGGAGGCTGTGGGTGTCACATGTCCCTGAAATGGCGCTATGAGACAGACACTCCACTGCTGTCTGCGGTATAGGGGACTCCTCATCAGTACCCAGGCCACGAACGCACCAAAGTCTGAGTCACTGTCACAGAGCTGAGGAGATGAAGTAAGGAGACATGAGGATTAAATACTCTGTGATCCCTTGAGCTGGATTCTGGGACAGGAAAAGATCGTAATGCAAAAACGGGCAAAGTACAAAGAAAGTCTAGAGACCAGTTAGTAGGGACGCGTCAGTGTTGGTTTCTTACTTTTCACAAGTGCACCGTGGTGGTAATGTTACGGGAACTGGGTGAGGGATATGTGGGCGTTCTCTGCACGGTCTCACCAACTTGTCTCTAATTCTACAACTATTGCAGAATTAGAGGTTTATCTGAGAGAATACAGCCCAGGCCAGAGAGAACCCGGTAGTGGGCTGGACCCAGCCAACAAGCAGTAAAAGCTGCTCCCTCTCAGGAAGCCAAGGGTGGAGGCTTCTGGAGGCACACAGATCCCCTGGGGCTGAGCCCAGGCCAGCATCAGGCCCAGGAGACTGAGTGCTGCCCCTGGTCACCCTTCCCTTCTGCTCCAAAAGAAGGGAGGATTCAGGGAGGGGAAATCAGTCATTTACAAGTTTTACTGAACTTCTCCCCACAACATCTGTGAAGTGCTTAGCGCCGACGAGAGATGCACTCATCTGCACTAAACCTTTATGAGAACGTCAATATTTGATTTAGAGGAGCACTTCATTCAAAAAATTGCCAGGAATATCAACCAGCAAATTACTAACTCTTTGGACAAGAGAAAATTCCTTGGTTTTCTGGGTAAAATGATGCTCCACCCACGACTAGTGGCTTCAAGGAGCAAATCCCCGGGTTCCCCTGGCAGATATCCTGTTCTCTACCAGCTCTGACAGAATCTAAATAAGATATGTGCTCCCACAATGGCATCTGGGAACAGCTGTAGGATAAACGATCCCATCAAGCCCTCCCCTGAGCACATTAGATGGAGGGACAGGGACAGAGATAAAGAATATCACTGAGGGGGTGCCTGGGTGGCTCAGTGGGTTAAGCCGCTGCCTTCGGCTCAGGTCATGATCTCAGAATCCTGGGATCGAGCCCCGCATCGGGCTCTCTGCTCAGCAGGGAGCCTGCTTCCTCCTCTCTCTCTCTGCCTGCCTCTCTGCCTGCTTGTGATTTCTCTGTCAAATAAATAAATAAAATCTTTAAAAAAAAAAAAAAGAATATCACTGAGGAAGGAGGCCGTGGCCACGTTTCCTCCCCCACTAGCTGCTCCTTGGATGGTGAGAAGCTGCAGTCACGACTCCCTAATACACAGGTGGGAAAGGGAAATGTACAGGTGGAAGGTCTGGGGTCACCCACACACTGATTTACTCCCCAGTGTGAGCTCTGCATCATGAAATGTCCTTGAATGCCAATCCTGCCACAGAAAGGCAGAACAGGGCAGGAAGCCATGCCGGGAGCCGGAAACAGAAGCCAACCTGGGCAGACAGGCAGTCACCTCCCCAGCCTGTGTTCATGGTAGGACTGCAGGCAGTGCTGTGAGCTCTCCCACGTCCCCAGCACAGGCTGCCCTGCACAGAGCAGGCATTCAGTGATGTATCTGCTGTGCCCAATGCAGCAGACCATGCCTTTGTCACTCTCCTGTGCTGCAGGGTCCATCTGAGGCACCTCGCGGGAAGTGTATTCCAGCCCCTCCTCACGTCAGACCCACACAGCAGCCCGCTCTCTGAGGCCACCCTGGCCCATGGTTCAGAACACACCAGAATCCTTCCTACTCCTAAGACATAGAAAGCAACCCCATCCTAGCTCCAAGAAATGATGGGAAAACCAGCCAAACCTTCATTCATAACCAAAAACTGTCTCTCAAGTTGAAGCGGGTGGCAAAAGCGGTGGACAGGGATGACCATCCTGGGATAGTTTGTTGCTTTTTCTGAATTAGACTGTTGGCTTCAGAATGGGGTGATCTCCTTGAATGAGCTCATTTAACATGGCCAGACAGCATCTGCTCCTAAGAGGTGCTCAGTAAATCCCAGCTTCCTCCGTGGTTCCCTTCTGTAGTGACACTTAATGGAGACAGGGAAAAGACACCATCCAAGGGACCCAGGACACCCTGATATCTTCAGAGGGCTAGGACATATCCCTGAGGGGAGAGGCACCCTCCAGGTTTGCATGACACACATGCCATTTGAAAGAATGCCCAGCATTTCCGCGACCATCACTCTCAGAAGCTGTGTCTTCAATAGGATGAATTAAGGCCACAAAGATCATGTCACAGAAGCAACCTCAACTCGACAAACATCTCCCACAGGACAGAGACTTCTATATGGTCTCTGTGGTTTCTTTCTTTCTCTCTCTCTCTTTTCTTTTTTAAGATTTTATTTATTATTTGACAGAGAGAGACACAGGGAGGGAGGGAACACAAGCAGGGTGGTGGGAGAGGGATAAGCAGGCTTCCTGCTGAGCAGAGAGCCGAGGTGGGGCTGGATCCCAGGATCATGACCTGAGCCGAAGGCAGATGCTTAACAACTGAGCCACCCAGGCGCACTGTCTTTGTGGTTTCAAGGACTTTTTCACAACACTCCCTAGGCTGGCTGCCCCTTCAGGACGCTTACACGTACCAACAGCTAGTCCGAGTGGGCCCCCGACCAGACCACAGATGAAGGCCACACCTCCTGTGATCAGGGCGCTCCTCACAGAGTACCTGACAGCCAGCTTTATCTTCTTATTCTTAGAGATGCAGCACAGCAGCTTCATGACGTCTTCCACCTTGAGGAGTTTCTTGGTGAGCCTCAAAGGAAGCATTTCAAAGGAAAACTTTTAATGAGTATCAGAGTATTTGCTCCCAAATGTCACTCTTGCTAGAGTTTGGAGGACAGCCTCATGCAGAGAACAGGAGCTCTGCTGTATGCGGAACTGACAGCACCCAGCCATGTGATGGGTTCCTTGTCACAGAGGAAGTCAGGGAGCCGCTAGTTAATAAGCACACAGAACCCGCAGAATGCATGAGAGGTCTTCCTTGCCCTCTGCGTAACTTCTGATTTATGACAGATTACGGTACAGGCCCAGCCACAAACTGCATCTGTTCTTCACAAGTGAGGCAAATGTGCCCTCTTGCGCGTCTGCTGCCTTCCTGCCAGCTCAGGCACCACCAGTGCACAGAGCCTGGCAGAGGGCAGAACATCCCAGCCTCGAGTCCTCCGTCATGTGACAGGGCAGCGGAGCTCATGCCAAGCCCGAGAAGGGGAAAGTACTGGGCTCCATGACCACCCCAGCCTGTGCCCACACCTACCCCATGACCCTGAGCCAAGCATCAGATTCCTCACCTGTAAAGGGAGATAAGCCACCTACAAGCTGGCTTCTGGAAAGGTTGAGGGGAATGGATGCAAAGTACCTGTTGTGAGTCTGGAACACGCGGCCCTGAGACCTGATGGCTCTAAATGAATGTTCTGTTACTGATACACACCACTGGCTTTTCTATAAGCCCATCCAGTTCTGCATGGGGGATAGTAAAGGCAGGGACAGGACGGCCCTAAGGATGACCAGTAAGATGGAACAACCAGAGAATAAAATAAACCAAAGTAGTTGAGGGGTTGGCATATGTTTGGATAGACAGACAGGTGGACCTTTGGAATAATGACCTTAGAACAATACTTGTGGGGCGCCTGGGTGGCTCAGTGGGTTAAGCCGCTGCCTTCGGCTCAGGTCATGATCTCGGGGTCCTGGGATCGAGTCCCGCATCGGGCTCTCTGCTCAGCGGGGAGCCTGCTTCCTCCTCTCTCTCTCTCTATCTGCCTCTCCGTCTACTTGTGATCTGTGTCTGTCAAATAAAAATAAATAAAAATCTAAAAAAAAAAAAAAAAAAAAGAACAATACTTGTGGTCAGGAAACTGTTGGCCACACTGATGGGAAACTGGCAGGCATGCAGGACCAGGACAGGGTGGGCTCTGCCCCAGGGTCAGTGGGAATAGAAAGCCACAACGCTGACAGGACACCTGAAGTAAAATCGAAGTGATCATGGATAGGCTGTTGCTTCTCCTCGTGGCTTCAACTGGACCCAAGGCTGGAAGGCAATTCCTTTCCTTCACTCCCCTTTTCATGCAAGGAGTCCCTAAAGGAACTTCGGAAAGTTTGGGGCAGACCCTGTTACTCAAAAACTCTTGGTTACCACTCCTTTTGACCCAAGAAAAATCCAGAACCAGACACTCATGTAGAATCATCCCCTCAATCCTGGGAGAGAATTTTCAGCCCCTACAATAATTTTTTGGGTCTGCTGGATCACCACAGTCGGGGTTCAGAACTTCTCTGCCATCCCAGGAGAGATAAGTTAGTGTCCTGGGCTCTGGCCCCTGCCATGTTCTGAATCAGTGATTCTCCACAAATGCACCCCACATTGGACAGCAAGACTGTAAGAGACCATGACCTAGATATCTGACATTGACTACTTAGTCCTTGAGCTCAGAAAGTGCAAATAACCATCTCCTAAAAGTGTCTGTTTGACCAAGTGGGGTGTAGAGACAATGGAGGAGCAGGCCTGCAGGGGTACTCAAGGGACTGGAGGAGAAGTCAAGAGTCCCTGCGCCCGCTCTGGCACCATGTGTCCTGGACCTGCCAGCACACCTCCGAGCTTCCTGTCCCTTTGCTCACTACTACAACCCCTTGTAGACAGAGTCCATGCCGCCTCCTCCACCCTGGAAGACAGCCCACGTGAGGGTCATGACTTGTCCACACACGAAGGTCACAATAATAAAATAGCCTTATAACAGCAAAGGGACTGCACATGGCAGAAGTCACTGAGAAATGAGGGGATGGAAGCTGTGACTTGATTTGCCCAGTACCCATGGTTCTGTAAAGCTATGCAAATGAGTTTTATTTCAAATATTGATAATCAAGGGAATGAATATCATGGTAAAACCTTTCAAAAAGCTAACCATCCTCCTGTAAAAGAGCTAATCATATAGTTTATATCCAGGTTATATCCATCTTTCTATTTGTCATTATGCTGGGAAAAAGGGAGATGGAGTTCGGACCTGGGAAGGCAGTGAGCTTCTGGTTTCCAGGTGGGTGAAGACCCCAGGAATGGTCTGCAAGGTTGGCTTCCTGGCAAGGGCACTCTGTCCAAACACCACTCCTAAAACAGGGTTTCTGCACATTAATGGACCTGCACTCCAGAAACACTTTCTGCACAGCAAGAAAATGCATGGATAGGAGGCAGGAAACAGCCACTTCACACTCTGTTGTCCATCTAAAAACCTGGCTTCCCACCTGCTCTGAATGACTTCATACAAACCCACAAGGCTAATAAGGCATCATCGTGCAAAGACTACTTACTCCCAACCTCCACCAGCCCAAGGCAAGAGCCCAGGGATCTGCAGACCTGGAGGGCCGGCAGGTGTCCTGGTGTGTGGGAGGGCACGAGAGGATGTGGCTCACCTCTGGCTGGGTTCAACAGCTTCACACCACAGTAAGACGTGGCACTGTGGCTGCCTCAATGCAAGACAGAGCTGGTTTAATTTCCATGTGAGAATCATTTTAGACTTCAGAGCATCAACAGACTCTTGTGGAAAAAGGTTTGTCACCCCATCTCCTGAGTCCTTAATGGAAAGCCACCTCCTGACTTCTCGGGGATTGCCAGATTGAGGAAGGAAGCCAGTCCTGCTTCCCCTCCCACTCCAAGCTTGCATTTGTCTGTGAGCAACAAGGAAGCCAGGAAGGAGGGAGGAGGGAGGAATAGTACATTGATGGGGACCGAGCTCAAAGTGTGGGAATGGAGTCTCCCCTCCCCATATTACACCTATTTCAGAATCATATTTGTCCACAACACAGGCTCTGGTCACAGAAAGCCCATCTGCCAGCCACAGGGAAGGCAAATGCCAACTTGAAGCCCTGATTTCTTGCAAGCACCAGGCTGCTCTGCTGATGACAGCAAGGTTCTGGGGAAGAGGGAAATGAACCCATCCCTGGGACTGCAGCCTGGCTTTTTGAGATGGACCAGATTGTGAGAAAGCAGGGAGAGGAAGGCTTCAGAGCTAACAGAGACCCCCATGCACTGTGTTAAAAAAAAAAAAAAATTAGAAAAGCAGAGCCTCTTAAGGAATCAGAGTGATCTTGCTCACCTGCCATCCTCAGTACTTTCTACTTCTCTGTTGGAATTTATGAAACTCCTCTGCGTGGCCTGGCTCTTGCAAGCCTTGTGTCCCCACCTCTGTAGGCCGTGCTGCAAAGGTCCCATGTGGACCCCACCAGCACTGTCAGATTAGCCCCCAGACTTTTTAATGACTGAAGTATTGCCAGTATTTAAAAATAAGATTTCACATCCATCTGATTCCTGACTTCTCTCGAAAAATCAAAAGAGCAAGTCCCCTGGACCATCTTCGTAGGCACAGAGGCCTAAGCTGAGAAGGTCCTGCCTTCTGTCTGCCACAGGCCCTGGCAGGGTGACCTTACCGGACTAGGGACCCATAAGTAGGTCATCTGCAACCTCTCAAAGTCCCCCTGCTTCCTCTTTTAAAGGCTAAAGAAGCCACCATTTCCCACCATAGAAATTGTCCCCTCTAAGATCCCTGACATCCACTCCTGATCATCTCTGAACTTTCCCTGCAGGGCGAGGCCAGGGGTGCTGACTCACCGAGTATCCTTCTAGGACTCTGTCCCGCAGTTCTAAAACCTGCCGCCCCACCCACGCACCTGGGACGCAGAGGAGGGTGACGCGCACCCCGGGTTACTGAGGAAGGCACGGACAGGCGGGTAACTGGGGAGCTCAGACACGCACCGGAGTCCCGGGCCCTGGGTCCGGCTGCTTGGGTTGTAACCCCAGCTGGGCTGCTTCTGCTTACTTCTGGTGTGAGGTCACCCTCTCCGTGCCTCGGTGTCTTCACGTGGCAAATGAATACCTTAGCGACGTGGACTCGGCTCCCCAGCCCGCAGACCCCCAGTTACCGCGCCTCAGCGCCCCGCCTCACCAGAGCCATGGGGGCACCGAGCCATTCACCTGCTGGGACGTGGCCCTGGACGCCAGAGAGACCTGAGCCCCATCTTCCCAGGCCCCCGCCCCGCCCAGGGTCTCCTGTCCGCGGGGCCGCCCAGCGCGGAGGATCTGCCCCGCTGCCTTCAGCTTCGCCCGCGCGGGAGGCCTTCAAGTCATCACTCACCACCCGGCCCCCTCGGCCTTAGCCGGTGTCCCAGCCATCGCCGCCACCACCTCCGGTGACACCTTCACAGCCACCGCTGCCGCGTCCTGCTGCGTGGGCTTCCGCTGCCTGGCCCGCTCTCGCCTTGGCTGGGTCGGACCCCGAGAACTCCCGCGGAGCTTCTCCTCTAGGTCGGAGTCTAGGCCTGGCGCTGGAGTCTGGACGGAATCCCCGTGGCTCTCAGGCAGCGCTCCTGCACGTGCACCGCCAGCCCTCTACCGCAGGCTGTCCTCAGCTTCCCAGAGAGGCCTCTCTCCCTTTGCCCCTTTATTCAGGATCTCTGACTCTTAGGCCTGAGGAATCTCCTCCTTCCTTCAGTGGGCGTGGAAGACAGCCCAGCAACCTGGGGAAACCCCTGGGGCAAAGTTAATCTGTCCTGAAGGTATGGGCCAAATCCCATATAAACTGGCATAAAGTGCCTGCAACCAAGTGCCCCTGGGTCAGTGGTTTGAAAGGCTGTGTGCTAGCTTAACTCCTCGGGTTCCAAGGGAAGGGGGAGGTCCAGCTTCCAGGACAAAGCTGAGGTTGGGGAACCTCTTGGGAGGGGGCAGATGTGGGGATGAGGCAGGGAATATTTTAGAGTGTGGAGAAGATTCCCTCCACTCCCATCTCCACCCTGACACACACACGCACACACTAACACTCAAGGGCTGGCCTTGAACCATTTCAAATCTGAAAAAGGCTCTGGGGGCTTTCCATGGAGTGTCAGGGTCCAGACTCTAACCTGGGTCCAGCTGGCTCAAAGCTCTCGCTGTACCCAGCACTGAGCCTGGCTTTCCCGATGCTGTGCGCACCCAGAGGATGGGCCTCTTTCAACTGCCAGAGTCATTGTTTCGTTTTCTTCTTTTCCTTTTTTGGAAGAGAAAGTACTTTGAGAGTATATATGCCACACACACACACACACACACACACACACACACCATATATTTGTACATATATATACTACAGTATATGCATGCCTTAGTAAAGTGTTTTTTAAAGATATATATTTGCTGACTTAAAAAAAGCTGTACATATTTAATATATACAACTTGATGATGATGTGGGAAACAAAGGCAGGAGAAAAATTAGTAAATATCATTACTACCTACAGCCCAGGCAGGCAGAGTGACTTTCCTCTAGAAAATGTCAGCACTCCGCTAAGAGCAAAAAAAAAAGTCCTAGCTCAACCCCAGGACCCTGTAAGTCTACTTTAACATACAAAAATTCCTTGGGAAATTTCCTTTATCTCTACCCTCCAAGATATATGTTGTCAATCATCCCCCAAGCATATGGGCCCCCATAGCCATCTGAAGGGACTCATGACTGAGTTTTTACTAAATTGTAATAGATGACATTTCCTCACAATAGCTAGCCCCCTCAGGATCATGGAAACCTTGTTTCGATATTACTTGGAAGGCTTACACTAACTCCCTCCCAACTTGAAAGTATATAATGAGCCACTCCTCACCACCACTGTGCAGCTCTTCCTGCTCAGGAGTCCTGTCCCCATGCTTTAATAAAACCACCTTCTCAAGAATTCTTTCTTGGCCATTGGCTTCCAACCCTAATGTCTTGTCCTATGTCAATAAGTTTGGAGATAAGTATACACCTGTGTGACCATCAACACAATCTATACCATAATCATCTCCATCACTCCAGAAGTTTCTTCCTGCCCTCTTTATTATCATTATCACTTGTGGGTGTGTATGTGCGTGTGTGTGGGGGGGTAAGAACAATTAGCATAAGAGTTACCCTCTTTAATATGTGTTTAGTATACAACAGTATTAGCTATAGGCCATATGCTGTGTAGATAAGCACTTACTTATCTTCCAGAACTGGAACCAACAGTATAGGCTATAAGTCCTATGCTGTGTAGATAAGTATTTACTTATCTTCCAGAACTGGAACCAACAGTATTAGCTATAGCCATATGCTGTGTAGATAAGTACTTACTTATCTTTCAGAACTGGAACCAACAGTATTAGCTATAGGCAGTATGCTCTGTAAATAAGAACTTACTTATCTTCCGGAACTGGAACTTTGTACCCTTTAACTATCATCATTTTGTTACTTCCCTTTCCCTCCTGTCCTCATTGTAAGAAAGGGGCTCAAGTGTTAACAAGGGTTCCCTGGGCACAGTGACTCACCTCATCCATTTCCAAATAGGAGCTTTTGTTTGAGTTTAGGTGACAACCATCTCCAGCTCAGGCCTGGGGGAGATTTTCCCATTTCTCTGCAGGCAGCTCCTTCTGGAGGCTCATTAAAGAAGTGGGTTGGGCGCCTGGGTGGCTCAGTGGGTTAAGCCTCTGCCTTCGCCTCAGGTCATGATCTCAGGGTTATGGGATCGAGTCCCACATCAGGCTCTCTGCTCCTCAGGGGGCCTGCTTCCTCCTCTCTCTCTCTGCCTGCCTCTCTGCCTACTTGTGATCTCTGTCTGTCAAATAAATAAATAAAATCTTTAATAAAAAAAAAAAAAAGAAGTGGGTTGCTGACTCCCCCAGAGGTGGGAAGGGGAGCACTGATAGACAGGAAAGATGCTAGAAGGGAAAAAAACTGCAAAGTCAGGGCCCTCCAGAGAAGGTGAGCTGTAAGAAGTCCAGCAAACGTTGCACCTGTTGACAACCTGGGACCTTCATTCTGATATGAATGAAGTCATAAAATGGATGCAGACACCAAAGCCCATGGATGTAACACATGATACCACAGTGTCCTAGTGACAGCCAGGCCTCCTGCAGCCTGGTCCTCTGAATGACAGGTGCACAGTGGGGTCCCAATCATGGTGACTGTGCACTGACCCAGCATCCAGACAGTGCTCTCATGATGCTTACCGTCCTGAGGTCTGGCTAAGTGACCTCAGGAGTGTCATTCAGCTTCTCTATGCCTCGGTTTGCTCATTTGGGAAATGATGGCAACAATTGTGTCTTCCCATAGGGTTATTCTGAAGATTAAAGGAGGTAAAATATAGGGATCTAGATTATTTTTGTTTATATCATAGTGTGTGAAAATGAAAAACATCTCCAGAGTCCCAAAAGTGAGCCTCATGTCCAGAGAGGCAGGAAATCAGATCCCACCCCCACTGTCACAACCCACCATCCACAATCCACCATTTTGGGGGTCCAAGAATCCCCCAGCATGCGAGGCTGCATTCACAGAGCCAGTGGGATCTTGGGCCCATGCATTCACCAACACTAACTTAGCACCTTGAGCTTCCCAAGGTCCCTGGGCTCTTTCCTGGGCCTGCTGAGGGGAGGGAGGAGCAGCCCTAGGCCTAAGGGTCAGAGATCCTGAATCAAAGGCCAAAGGGAGACAAGGTCCCCAGGAAGCATCTGCAGGTTTGAGGAAGATTCGAGGTGAAATGTCCATCTAGAATGTGTGCAGGCTGGGGAAGAGGGCAGAGGCTGGATGCGAAGAGTGTAGTGTGGGGGCCATGGGGCCCTCTGAGGCCAGAGCCTGGTCCCCCCTCACCTTTTCCAGAGTTCCAGTCAGCAGCTCCTAACTTATATGGCTTTTTTCAGGATAATCCCACTCAGCCCCAGGGCTGGATAATGCCACACACGGGTCACACACACAGAAACCCCTGTGACCTCTTAATTAAGCATATGAGTAAGCTTGATGTCACTTTGAAAACTAAAATCTTACGGTCTATGTTCTTTTTACTTTAAATTACCTCTAAGAAGGCACCATAGTCTAGTGCTTAGGGGACCCAGGACTCTGGATCCAGACTTGTAGCCAGTCATTTGCCCCAAGGCAGCCAGAGAGCCAGGGTTTGGGGTCAGAAGAGGTTCCAGCCCCATATGGTGGGCCTAGGACACGCTTCCTTCCTTTGTCCCAGGGTGGAGGAGGTCTCCACAGCCCCCAGTCTTTTCCCCAGGATGCATGCCATTTTTTTGGTATGTGAAGTGTTCAGTGCAGTAGGAGGCATCTATCCGGGGATTCGTTAGTTTGCTAGGGCGCTATAACCAAGGACGACAATGTGGGGGGCCTAAAACAGGACTTTATTGTCTCTGTTGTGGAGATAAGTTCAACGAGCCCGCAGGCCCCAGCTCCCTCTGAAATCTGTGGAGGAGAATCATTCCTTGCTTCTTCCTAGCTTCTGGGAGTGGCCGGCAGTCCTTGGCTTTCAGCTGTGTCTCTGTATATGTCATCACTTGCCATCCCTCTGTGTGTCTGTGTCTGCACCCCAGGTTCCCTCTTCTTATAAGGACACCAGTCATACGGGATTGAATGCCCACCCTGCGGACCTCATCAGAACTCGATTACACCTGCAGACTCTATTGTCAAATAAGGTCACATTTACAAGTACCAGGGGTTAGGACTACAAATATCCATTTGAGGTGACACAATTCAATGCCAAACAACAGGAAGTCAACAAATGCCAGCCGTGATGATAAGCACATGAGTATGCACACGGTCCATGCTGGCACAAGGAAACTAGCAGGCTCAGCCCAGCCTTTTGTCAAAGTCGCTGTGCACAGAGGGACCCTTGGGACGCCTGCCTTTGGTCTTGGAGGAGCTGTGTTCTGCAAGGACTGTTGCCAGACAAGGGGCTTTGGGAGTGGTAATGAGCCTGTCCCGGCTTCATCATTGTTCTTCTGAATGTTTAAGTTTTTCTCTTCCTTGTTGTTTACATCCTTCAGATATTTGTAGATGGCTATCCTGCCCCTTGGTCATCACTTAGCGCCTGTCTGCATATTTGCCGTGGTGTGTTATTATTATTATTGTTGTTGTTCCTATGTCCTCCTTGCATGCTCACTTGGTCCCTCAGCCACCATCACTGCTGCCTGAATTTCCTGCAGGTTCCCAGCCCTGCAAGTGCTGAGTTACCGGGATGGAGCATCAGAAGTCAGTAGTCAGGTGACAAGGGACAGCTCACAGACCCTCTGGCTCCCTTCTCCTCTGTCATTTTTGTCAGTTTCCTTTACGAGCTAAGTAAAAAACAGCATGCTTACAGTGTGAATGCAGTTTCCAGACAAATCCCTTGCCCCTGCTTCCATCCAGACAGTCCCCAGTTTCCTCAGCTATGAAATGAGGATAAGAACCCTGAGATTGCTGTAAGGACGGATGAGAACAGAGTGGAAAGCGCCTTGTACACTACAAAGCAGGGAGAGTGATGGTACCAGCAATGCCTTCAAAGCATGAGTGGATCTCTGCAGAATATTCCAGGGGTCTGCTGCTCTAAAAGCTAGAGATTCCAAATTAGAATTTACAAAATGAACTCGATAGAACTGAGACTCAC